CCAGCACACATCATCTTCTAGTTTAAATCCAAACAAAATTAATATATACTTTAAGTATCACTCGGAGTTGTTGTACTTTAAGTTATAATAGTATTTCAGTTCTGTAATTTTTATTTTATTTTATTTTTGGCAATAGTGTGCAGGCTCATCTCATGATCTTGTACAACCGACAAAATATTAGGACTTGCCATTTTTTTTCAAGAGACAAAACATTTTTTCCTATGTGGAAGGGCTCTTGGTTTTATGGTCAAAATGGATTTCACAACCTCAAGAGTGAAGAGTAAAACAAAAAGAAAACACACACACACAATAAATTACACTGTGAGGACGGTGAAAGTAACCATTTTGGTGGTGACAACAACTAGGATGATCCTAGGAAGTAAAAAAAAAACACAACTAGATGGTAAAATTTAATATAATTCGCGAACACGACTCAAATATAATATATAGGAAATGAATTAGCGGGCTTTGAATTTTAATCGCGTTCACGTTCTAATCATGTCAGCCCCTTTAACTTATTTTATTAATGATATAATGTTCTGTGTTTCAGGGCTCAATCTAGATAACCTAATTAGACACATTTAATTAATTAATTATTTTCATTTTCATGAATTTATTATTCTCATATCATTTCTCATTATATTTGCATTTTATACTTAAAAACAAGTCGATAAACGGTATAGATGACCAATTTAATTTAAACGATTAAATAAGTTGTAAACGATTGGTGTCGTGTTGACTTACATAACTTACACTATCTAATTATTAAATAAATTACATTGATCATATTGTGTTACATGTGTTCACACCCTATTTTTCCATTCTCCAGAGGAAGATTGCTCTGGTCAATTCCAATGAGAAGGTATTATGACATTCCAGTGGAAAGTCTTGGGACACATGGCCGCTAAGGAAGCAAGCGATTATAAGTAATTACATGCAAAGTTATGAGACACATGGCAGCCTAGGAAGTTGGTTGATTCCAATGGAAAGGTATTACGACATTCAAATGGAAAGTCTTGGGACACATGACAATTTAGAAAGCAAGCAGTTACATGCAAAGTCATGGGACACATGGCAGCCTAGGAAGCTGGTCGATTCCAATGGAAAGGTACTATGACATTCCAATGGAAAGTCTTAGGACACATGACATTTTAGAAAGCAAGCGGTTACATGCAAAGTCATGGGACACATGGCAGCCTAGGAAGCTGGTCGATTCCAATGGAAAGGTATTACGACATTCCAGTGGAAAGTCTTGGGACACATGGCAACCAAGGAAACAAACGGTTACATGCAAAGTCATGGGACACATGGTAGTTTATGAAGCAAGTGGTTACATGCGAGCTACCATTACTAAATTCTATAAATAATGTATGATATTGTAACTTAGAAATCCGCTCAACGCCAAATCAAACACTCATTTCAATACAATATATACTTTTCATTGATATGCGCTTTCAATATGATTAGTTTTTGTCCTGCATTTTACTTTTCATTAGATAATTCATTTACTTTCATAAGTAACGTAGTTCTTCCTAACCAGTTAACTATCCCAAAGTCTTTTATTAAAGGCAAAAAGAACTCAGAGGTGTTCATTCCAGACCTTTTTACAATCGCCTGGTCTCGCAGTCTTCCTTCTGGAATATTTGTTTGAATCTCTCTTTAGAACTACTGCAGTTCCTGGCACGCCCATCCGGTTTTATAGTAACCGACCCCGCTTTTTTACAGGCCAAACAACATGTTTAATAAAATAGGACACGACTGTATTAAGGGTTCCTAACTCGATTATTAAACGAGTCCTATTCAACTTATATTACTTTAGGTTAGTTAATAGAACAACTACAACAAATTTGTGATAATTCATGGACTTTGTTTGAATTTTATTCGAGTTCATGATATTTTAAAAAATGGTTTTGAAATTAACTGAGAGTTAGCGGTGAGTTACCAGAGTTTTGGTGATGAATTGATTATTATTTATTATTGTATTTATTATTTTATTTTTAGAGACATATTTTTATTTTATTTTATCATTTAGCAGTTTCAATAAATAGGTATAAACTTTTTCGAAACTATAGATAAAATTCGACTAGGCATGTTTTAATATAAATAGAAATCATGTCTCAGTGAGTTCACAAAAGCTAAGCTACCACATTTAAGGTCAACTTGTACAATAATTAGCCTATTGAGTCAAGTTCAAGTTTTTTTTTTTTTTTTTTTTTCTTTTTCCTGCAAGTAAGACAAATTCAAGTTGTTTATTAACAATTCAACACTAAATTAATATACTAACTCGCTAGTAGCTTATTATTGTTTTTTCTTCCATTTTGAGGACATCATTTATTTGTTCATATTATTTATTCAAGTTTTTTTTTTTCGGAAATTGCTATTTATTCAAGTTGTTATTACTCTTCGGTACGAAATTCAATGTGCAAATTATTCATATTCCCTTTTGGGATAGATGTTGATGTTCTAACAACCTATATAAACTTATCACTCTAAACTTCCAGAATCGCCCAAAATGGTAATGGTCCCTTGCTTCGTACTCATTTGAATGTATTACATCTTTGCCATTTTAATAAGTAAATTTCTTAATAAACTATATATATATATATATATATATTTCAAAATTTGAAAGGGCCACCGACAATAAAATATATTGAAGGACTCGAATTTCAACTTTTTCAATAAAAATCGGAGAAATTGGATCATCGGACTAGTATTCGGTAGTAAACAAACAAATTGTGAATTAAGCAGCTCACGAGACATGCCTTCAAAAGATTTGAATCCCTTTAAAAATGGTTGACGGAATCAATCAATCAGTATGTTCTACCCATAAAATGCTGCTAGTTAGAGAAGACATAGCCATCACCGGATATGGAACCCTAGAGTGTGCCACCTCAAACCCTAGTGTGGTCCCCTTGTTAATACGAAGAACAACACATGCACCACTAGCACGCACCCGCCAGAAGACATGATATTATTCCCCAAAAAAAAAAAAAAAAAATTCAGTAATATTATTATATATATATATATCGATAAATCCAAAAGATCTAATGGTAAGGTCATTGGCCTTCCAAAAATAGCATCCAATACTACATCCATGTCCTTTCAAGACATGTGTGTGTGTGTGAGAGAGAAATTTGTCCTCCAGTTGCCTCCTTTATCCTTTCCCTCTTATTTCTTGAAAACATGTATAATCTTTTGATTTTGCGTCAATGGTTGGAATATTTGAGTGAAAATTTGGATGCCCAATCTCCCACCCAAAAGTTCTCCAGAAAAGTAATGTGATGACTAAGGCTATGTTTGGTACGGTGGGATTGAATGGGAAGGATAATATTAGTTATGAAGGAAATAGAAGGGAAAGAAAAAGAAGGGAAGGATAATTTTAACCCCCGTGTTTGGTTGATTAATGAAGGAAAAAAAAGAAAAGTATAATAATCATGTTTGAAAAAATGAAGGAAAGAGAGAAAAATTACTATTATACCCTTTTCCATTTTAAAAGATATATATATATATATATATATATATATATATATATATATATATATATACCAAAAATAAAAAAGTAAAATAGATCAAAAATAAATAAAAAAAAGTAATCTGTAAGTCACGTATATCAGTATATGAATGATGGGCCACAAGATTTAGGGCAAATCATTTCAGCCTCCCCAATCTCTCTGCCTCTATCTCAATTCTCGTTCTCAACTCTGAACTTGCCGTCTCTCTCTCTCTCTGTGTACTACAGCCACTGTCTATCGAGAATCAAAAGTTCAAAATCTATATATTCCAGTTTATCTATTAAGAATCAAAAGTTCAAAACCCATATCGACATATCATTTCAGATTGTTCAAAAAATCAAAACCCATATCTTTCAGTTTCCATCGCCCGCTATTTCAGTTCGGTTCGCCGTTCGCAAGCTTCAGCCGCTGGCCGCCGCCGTTCGCAAGCTTAAGGTGACGAGAAGAGGGTAAAATTGGCATAAAAAATATTACATCAGTTATTGCCTTCCATTTCCTTCCATTTCCGTCCATTTTTGGGAAGATAAGCATATTACTGTACAAAGCAGACCATAACCCTCCAAACCCTTCCCTCTCATTTTATTTCTTTTCACCCATTTTACCCAAACACAATTTTTTAATCATCCTTCATCACCTTTCATCCCATTTCCACTCTACCAAACTCTGCCTAAAAGATTGTGGTATGCTAAATGAGTGCCATTTTGGTGGAGGTGAGGGCTTACGGTTAAAACTAAGTTGAAGTTTAATCTAAAATTGAACTTGATGCAAATTCGAATCAAAATGAATTTAAATTCATAAAATTACAATGGTTGAAAACAGTTCACAAGAACTAATTAAAGCATTGCTTTATTTTGATTTTTTGAAAATAAAATAGTCAATTTAAGAGAGAGAAAATGAAATAGTCAAAAAATCATAGCAATGGACAATATCCTTGTCCCAACATCATTTATATCGGAGGGCCTTATTGTCAATTTAATGCAAAGAGGAAGAAAAGGACCACGACGCGCCAAGCAAGAATGAGCCACGTGATACTCGTCGCATAAAAGAGATGAGCCACGTGACACGGTCTGGTTATGGCATCGCTGGCACAATCCTATTGGCCTGAGCCCTGACCACATCGTACGGGAAGAGTAATAACGTTTGTTTAGCTTTTGTACGGACAAACCATTTTAAACACTCTCGCGGGTGTGTGTCCCGGGAGTGCGTCAACTTTACGTGCAACTACCATTTACGTTTACTGGCAACCGACAGGAATCTTTGGTATCTAACCCTAAACCGTGCTTTATCTTCATCCAAGAAACACCGGACTCAGAAGTTGTCAATGACTCTTCCCACCCCACGTGTCCACACTTGAAGTGGGTAGCATGGATTCTTACGCGCCTCAAATCCAATTTCTTTGTTCGTCCATGTGTCTACAGTAGTATTATTTTGGATTATATATATATATATATATATATTTATATATAGTTATAATGGACTAGTGATGTGGTTGCCATTTGTTCTCTCTCTTTATTTTGTTCTTTTTTTGGGTGGGTGTTCCATGTGAGCTTACCAAAAGAAGAAAAAAGATGAGGGTTTTGGCCTTCTCAAAGTCTCTCTCTCTCTCTTTCTTTAATAATTCATTCTTCTTTCTCTTTCTATCTATGTGTTCTGTCCGTTTTTCCTTGTAAATCTTTCTAGGGTTTCCACTTTTTTCCCTACCCAGCTGCCATAGATCCTACAACATTTGATTTGATTTCCCACTTGCAATTAATTTCTCTCTTCCTCTTCCCTTTCTCTCTCTCTCTCTCTCTTTTCCCCCTCTAGCTTTCAGATCTGCAACAACCCAAGAAAGCTTTTTTCTTGTTATTCTATTTTGGGTGAGTTCTAATTTTATCCTTTTAACCCTCTTTCTATTTTGGGAAAATCTTTCTGGGTTTTGATTTGTTTGTACTGTGTTTGAGAGTGAAACCATTTTTTTTTTCTTCTGTTCTGGGTTTTCTTGGGAATTTAATTTCTTTTATTTTCTCTCGTCTTCTTGAACTAGGTGTAAGCTCTAAATATATAGATAGATAGATAGATATATACATAATGGTGAGAGGGAAAACTCAGATGAAAAGGATAGAAAATGCTGCAAGTAGGCAAGTGACCTTCTCAAAGCGGAGGAGTGGGCTTCTTAAGAAGGCCTTTGAGTTGTCTGTTCTATGTGATGCTGAAGTTGCACTCATCATCTTCTCTACAAAAGGAAAGCTCTATGAGTTCTCTAGTTCCAGGTACGTACCTTCATTTAATTAATTTCATCATCAGATGTATCATTCCCATTTTATTTTTTACCTTCCTTTTATATAAATATTACTTGTTAAATGGCATAAATCTGTAACGGAAAGAGTAGGTTTCTAAAGATTTTTAGTTTATATTTGTGTTTTTATATATATATATATATATATATCATTTTGCTAGATATTATGCCAACATGCCACACATTAAATGAGTACAATTTTGTGTTTTTATACCACCGTACCCCCACCAAGTACAATGATCTCGATCAGTCAGTCTTTATCTGTCCAAAAGGATCATGATCTTCTCTCTCTAGCTGATCTCCTGTTCTTTTTATCTTTTTCCCTCGAATCAAATCTTACCAATCAATGTCAATGCGATCTCTTGATAGTTGAGCTTTCCTTGTTTCACCTAAAATTTCAGATCCCAAATCCCTTTTATTCCACGTGTTGGCTAGTTGTCGCTAAAAAGCTCTACTGGTACAAAATTGAATTCAAGCTGAAAGAACCCAAATGTGACATTTTCACCTACTGCATGGCAGATCAATACTTACATTTCTGTTACACCGTACACGGTACATAAGTTTATGTATCTGCAGTTTTGAGTGAATGTCAAAAAGCATGGAATAGGAAAACTATATAATTACTATTATTTTTTGGGTTAGTAACCCATACGATATTATTATTCTTTGTTGCATAATAGTGGGTTTAAATAGTTCTATTGAGAACGAAGAAGTGTAATCTGTAGATTAGCCATTATCACAATTGTAAGGTGAGATAATTAACCATCCAAGAAATGATCTTGTGGCCTTAAATGAAATAGCTAGCCATCATAGACATGACTTGTTAGAATTGAAAACACGCACCCGCGTTTTTTTCCATGATTGAGCCCTTGGCTATTGATGATACATTAGGAGTTAAAAAAGAAGAAGTGCAATATAGGCTAATTTTTATGATTGTGTAATATGTTCTTGCTTTCTTCCTCTTATTATATTATTAATTCTTCACACTTTTTACTCACAAAAGAAAAGAGTCATCCAATGATCCTCTAGCTACTTACTTTCAATACATGTACGACCCCTAGGACATACTGCTTTGGAACACTCTAATTGATTCATCACCGGTACATGTTCTTTTGTCCAACATACATTGGGCAATTATCAAAAAATTCCTTAAGTTGGCCTCAAGGAGATCACAAGGGGAGATAAGTCTTGGACATAAGTCTTTGATTCCACCATGTTTCCTTATCCCCTTAAATCTTGGACATAGTCTTTGATTCCACCATGTTTCTCTATATATCTTTTGAACTTAGGTTAAGTGAGTAGGATTTAAGATATACTAGGTGTGGATATAATACGATGTCGATATTAAAAAAACGTTACGTTGCACATCACATTTGGAAACAGAAAGGCATCTACCACATATAATTGGTTACATGGTTTATGGTATAGTAATTGATCATTTAATTATCACTTCTCTTATTATTAGGATACTGTTAGATTTATTTATTTATTTATTTATTTATTTTTTTCAAACATAAACTTGGAAAAAATAGTACTATTGGCATTTGTGACCATGCTTTTCTCTCTCTCGCGCGTGCTTTTTCCTTCCTATTAGTAAATATGTTTAAAATAATTTGTCAACTGTTTTTTGCATGTCCACCTATATTCTTACTCCAATTATTAACATTTTTTTCATTTTCTATCTTAAATTTATTTATTTATTTAATTTTGATTCTCATAAGGTTGGACTGTAGTTCATACTAGCTTCAATGTCCAAGAAGGTATGAATAAAAAATGAAAATGAAACGTTAATTCGTAAGATTATTATCCAATATTTTGAATCTTTTGATGCTATAAGTAGCACGCATAGGATGCAAAACTGATCTCTAGTGGGGTGAATAGGTCTTATCCAATTTTAACAAACAATAATGACTTTTAAATCACTACAACTATCATTTAGGCAAAGGTCTAGAAAACAAAAATAATTAGATCATGCAATCACACAAAAACTCCGTGATTTTTATGTGAAAAATCCAAACGGAGGAAAACTGCGAGACCTAGCCTAGAAAAATCAAATTCACTATGAGAAAGAAGTTACAACTAGGTTAACTAATTTTTCCAAACCTTATAAGGTCTACTTACCACTTGGCACGGATTGATCTACCAAATTCTTCACTAGAATCTTCAGACACAATCTGCTCGTTTACAAAATTGTTCCGTACACAACTTGCTTCTCTGATTAGTGCTTTAATCTACAATGATCAGTTGTTCAATCCTTTGATATGTAGATGTTGTGGTTGACCAGTTTTTTAAGTATTCAATAGAACTTATTGCTTTAGAATTCAATCACACAATACTGTAGGACATTCTATATGAAGTACCTCGGTTGTATAGGAAAATAATGCTCTGCTTTCTCTTGCACTTGTCTCTGTTGTGTTATGCTATTTATAGAACCCTAGAGCACATTTTTGTAGTGTTGAAGTGATTACAAACTAATTAGGAATGTTATGGTTTTCGGAAAGTTTAGGAAACCTTTTCGGACTCGGTTAGAAATAGGGTTGCAAATGAGCCGAGCCGAGCTTTACCTTGTTCGGACTCGTGCGAGCTTGGCCAAACTGAGCTCGGGCTTGGCTCGTCAATTTTTCGGTGAGCTCGGGCTTAGTTCGGCTCGGCTCGAGCTCGCATTCAATCCCCCCCCCCCCCAAAAAAAAAATTTAGAGTAAACCAGAAACTTCAGATCTATATTGTTTCAAAGATGGAAGAACATGCTGCATCTCTTTCACCGACGTCCGTCTTCAATCATCTTCATCTGATCTCGCCAACACTAAAATTGAATTGAGACATCAAGACCCAAGAGAGAGATTTCATAGCTATAAACGAAAGAGGAATTGATGACCCAAGAGAGAATTTCATAACCATAAACGAAAGAGGAATTGATGTTGGGTCAAAACTTGAAAGATATTAGAGGAGTGATGTTGCAAGATTTGTTGTGGTTGCACATGGATAGGGTTTCATCCTAGATATTTCAGAGATTTGGAGATCGTGGCCGAGTAGAGAAGAAGAAACAATGTTGCGCGATGTGTGAGGCTACCTATGGTTGGGGTTCACAAATGCAATCCAACGGTGATATAAAGATAAGGCTGTGATTGATAGGGTAATAGTTTAAGTGGAGTTGGGCCTAAAGTTGAATTGAGTTGGTCTTACAAACTTATATGATGTTTGGACTGGGTTTATATCTAATGGGCTAAACAATTGTTATATAAAATTTGAAAAAATAAAATAAAAATAAGCCCTTTAGTAAACGAGTTTGTTCACGAACCTAATGAGCCGAGCTCAGCATTGTTCAAGCTTGGTTCATTTACTTCATGAACGAGCCCGAGCCAAGCTTTTAACGAGCCGAGCCCGAACTGTTTATGAACAGCTCGACAGCTCGGTCCATTTATAACCCTAGTCAGAAAGCTTATAAAGTCTAGCTTCTGAATATGTGATGCAAATTTATTTATTTTTCAAGACAAAGTTCAGTTTTAAAACTTAAAATCCTTACCAAAACAACTTTTAAATTGGTTTTCAATTTAAACTCAAGATCTAAGTTTTCAGACCAACATTAAGGTTTCCAAATTTATTACTAATGAAATAATATTCAACTTAAAATATATGATTATATTAAAACTAAATGATAATTAGTTTTAAATTAACTCCAAAATAATTCAAGTTTGTAATTTATTCACTCTGAATGCTATGATCTCCTAGGTTAGCTAACCTTCTTTATATTGTTTGATTTTTATGAAGGTTGAAGCAAAATGTCAATTTCAAAAGACGTATTTATAATGCTGTGTTTGGTGTGCAAGAATAAAATGGAATGCAAGTGGGAATGAAATGAGGATGGGAAGGAAATGACCATTCTCATTCTATTGTTTGGTTGTAAATATATAATGTGTATGAATGAAATGATAATAACCATTCTAGTGTTTGGTTGGATCAATTTAAAATTTAGAATGGAATAAATTTCAAATTGAGTTCTCCAAATTATCCCTCTTAGTAACAAATAAATTAAATTAATAAAATGACATTTTTCTATAATTTTTTAAAAATTAAATGGTGGCAATGGCGGTGGTGGATGGTGGTGACTATGGTGGTGGAGGTGGAAAGTGGTAGTGGTATACGTGGTGGTGTTGGAAGAAGGCGGCGGTGGCGGCGGCGGCAATGGTGGGAGACGGTGGCAGTAGTGTGGTGGTGGGAGATGGTGGCAGTAGTGTGGTGATGGTGGTGGTGGAGGTAGATAGTGGTGTAGGTGGCGGTGGTGGAAGACAATGGAAGTGATTGTGGTGGTGGTGGTGGAAGGCACTGGAGGTGGCGGTGGTGCTCGTGGTGGAAGGCGGTGACGGTGGTGGTGGAAGGCAGTGGAAGTGGCGGTAGTGGAAGGAGTGGCGGTGGCGGTGGTGGATAGTGGCAATGACGGCGGCGGAAGGCGATAGCTGTGGTGGCGGCGGCGGAAGGCAGTGACAGCGGTGGTGGAAAAAGGCAGTGGTGGTGGCGGTGGTGGAAGGTGGTGACGGTGGTGGTGGTGGTTGTGGCAGTGGTGGAAGACGATGGCGGCGGCGGTGGTGTTGAAAGGCTATGGCGACAGCGGTGGTGGAAGACGGTAATAGTGATGGTGGTGGTGGAAGAAGGTGGCGGTGGCAGTGGTGAAAGAAGGCGGCAGCGGAAGGTGGTAGCGGTGGCGGAAGGTTGTGGTGGAAGGTGGTGAAAGGCGGTGGCGGTGGCAGTGGCAAAAGGGGGTAATGGTGGTAAAAGGCAATGGTGGTGGCGGCGGCGGCGATGGTGGTGGAAAGTGGTGGGTAGTGGTGAAAGTCGATGGTGGTGGTGGAAGGCGGTGGTAGTGGTGGAAGTCAGTGGTGGTGGTGGTGGTGAAAGGCGGAGGTGGTTGTGGTATGGTTTTTGGATTTGGAATATATGAGAGTTTTTTGGGAAGTTGATTTATCAAAAAAATTTACT